ACACAGTGTAAACTACAGTATATCCAAACTATGGAAATTTTCTTCTGATGTCCTGGAGTTAGATAGAATGACAGAAGTATAATGCCCTGTTTAAGGTGAAAAGCCGAAACCATCTTTGGAAGAAAGGAGACTCTAGGCTTTGTGTATTGCCAGGAAAGGTTCCTTACAGGAAAAGACACAAGTTCAGACACAAGTCTCACATAGGAGAAAACAACAAGTAACACAACCTTGTGAGTAAGCTTTGAAAGGGGAATATTCCTGATATGGATATGTTCAAAGGGTGGTTTATGAAGTGCCAAGAGAACCAAATTCAAATTATGCAGAGACGTGGGGAGCCACATGAGAAACACCCTGTAAAAGGTCTTAATCAAAGAATGAGTGGGTAGCAGTTTCTGGAACAGGATTCCAATTGCTGAGGTCTGACCATTGATAGTACTCAGGGCCTATTGCTGATCTAGGCCTGATTGTAAATAGTTCAGGCCCATGGATTATTTTATGTGCTGAAAGTTTCTTTCCTTACACAAGTATGCTGTCCATGTAAGATGGTAGACTTTGCAGCAGGTGAATTTTCTTCCTATTAACATTATGGGGGTCACCAAGTAAAAGAGGCTCATGTCACTACCATTATTGCCAGTAACTGTGAAAACAGATGGTAAACTAGTCCTTGAGACAGAATATCCAGTCAATCTTATAAATTTACAAGTGCAGGGACCATTTCCCCATGTTCAGACGCTTCCCACCAAGGTAGTCGATCTACCATTTGTCCATGCCTAGTATGTGAAAAGTGAAATGTGAACTTGAAGTTCTGCCCAGGACAGAGGCCTTTCAATTTATTTAGTCATTGCAAGTTTTTTTTTTTATCAGTCTGTATTGTGGCTGTTTCTCCCTTTATATCCCCTTTATTTGTCTCGTTGGCGATTATCATACATACAGAATGTGATGGGAAATCCAAAACTTTACAGCTGTTACCAGAACAAGAGGTGAAGGGATATATTCCAATATATACACCTTTTCCAGTAAAAAATGTCTGAGATGATATTTTCTTTCACTTTGTAGAGATTTCCTTTCACTTCCTGTTACTTCCTGTTGGGGCAGGATTTAAAAGGAAAACATCCCAATGGAACAGAGACAGCAAAAAATAAACAGACTTCAACTTTTCCTACTCTACTCCAAAGCTAAAAAAAAAAAAAGTTTTAGTTAAGTGTTCTTGCATGGCAAGACCACTTACTGTTATCTCACATATATATTCTTATTATTATAGCCAAATTTACCACCCTAACTCCTCCCACAGTTTTTACACTACATAGACAGTAATATACCGAAACGTGCGGATTGTTCCCGATGGGTTTGCTATTACTTTGTGGAACGTTTCGCCGAATGGTTCACGAAATATCGGCGTTTTTGTGGTGAAATTGGTCCCATAGGAATGAATGGTGGAATGTTCAAAACTAGAGTGTGAGCTGAAAAATCAGGACATGATCTCTAAACTGCCATCACTCCCTCATTTTCAAGCCCACCTACACAAATCTTATATCAAAACGTTCAGCTATCCCTGCTGCCACTAAAAATGTCCACGGCTAAGCCATAGTCCAGATAGTTTTCACAATATGACCATTTGTTTGCAACTCACGCCGCCCCTTGACATTCACTGAAACTGCACTCTAGCCACCTCAAATTTGAAGGGCAATTTCTAAACTGCGACTGTGCCTTCATTTTTTAAATTTCAGAGACATACTATGCATCAAAATGTAGGCCTGGGTCTTGTGCTTTTCACTCTATCAAGCTTGCCATGTGCACTTTTTAAATTTGATCAATCTATTGGTTTGTGTAATGTTTACTATCTTTACTCACTCCAAACACTCCACACAGTTACTCTGCCCACTCCATAAAGTTACTCTGCCCAGTCCAACCTTTTCACAGTTACTCCAGCCACTCCAACCACACAATAGTTACTCAAGCCACTCCACCCAGTTACTCCGCCCACTCCAGTTGTAGACTACTGGTGGAGGCAAGAACACTTCACACAATTTCCCCAGAAATTGTAGCTTTTCTAGTTATACATATAATCATACCCCCTTCATGACATTTTTTGCAATTGGCACTGTGCTACATTAACTGGCAATTGCCCGGTCATGCAACACTGTACACAAATAAAATTTATATAATTCTTTTCACACAAATAGAGCTTTTTTTTCGTGGTATTTGATCACCACCATATTTTTTTATTATATAAATGAAAAAATACCGGAAATTTGGGTAAAAAACACAATTTTCTACTTTGTTATAAAACACATCCAATAAAAAAAAATCTAATTTCTTCATAAATTTAGGCCAAAATGTATTCTGCTACAGGTCTTTGGTAAAAAAAAAAAGTATATTAATTGGTTTGTGCAAATGTTATAGCATCTACAAACGATTGTATATATACTGGAATTTATGCTGCTATGAAGCTATACTGGTAATGGCGGTGATCAGTGACTTATAGTGAGACTGTGATAGTGTGGCGGAAACCTGGCGCTAACTGACACTGGCTAGGATTGACGCTAACTGACTGACACTGATATCAAAAATGACACTAATACATTGATCATTGCTAATACTGTACACTGTCACTGTCCTAATGACACTGGCTGGGAAGGGGTTAACATATAGGGGCAATCAAGGGGTTAATTGTCTGCCTAACAATGTGTAGTGTGTGTAACATGTGCTGCTTTTATTTGCAGATCTTGCTGTTTTTTTCTCCCTGCTTTTCAGGGAGAAGAAACAGCAAGATCGCTCTTCTGTTTACACAGAATCCTGTGTGTTTGTCAACACAGGACTCTGGGCTGACTGAGCCTGCCCGTGCCGCCCCACCATAGTACATGTGCAACAGCAGGGCAGCAAGTGGTTAATGTTTGCATACTCTTGGTTGCTTTAACCAATCTTACAGATGAAATATGCTAAAGTACTTTAGTTAACTGTGTATAAAAGGATCCCTCTAATGGGAAATTTGAGATGTGAATACCATATACAAGACATATACCAGAAGGTCATATAGAAGATTATGGGGCTTCCTGATGGATTATGATAGATGTACAGATAACTGTATCTGTAACCACAATGATCATTTAAATCAAAGAGAAATCTCTTTTTTTTGTGTGATACTGGTCCCAAAGCAGCACATCTGAGGTTAACTTATAGAAATCACACACATATTGTACAGCACAAGCATTAGGATTCTGCATCTGTAAACCAACTTCAAAACAATAATTTTAAATGACAACTTAAATACATGAGATTAGAGGTCTAAGCACTAAAATGTGAATGGAAATTCATTATAATAGTAGTTGGAATAAGTAACATGAGTTGAAATTGTCTGTGGAAGAACAAGTAGAATTCTGTCAACTGCTCTTAAGGAAAAAACATTAATACTCGATCTCTCTTACGTATCCATACTTCAAAATTCATTTGTTTGTTTTTAGGTTTAAATTATATTTTAGCAGAATATTAAACCTGTTACTTCAAGCTAACTAAATGACATATATTTATATTAGATAGAATTTTCTTCATATAGTTTTTAGCAAATGTACAGCATAGTTCTATAAGGAAACATCAGTACATCCACAACACTATGTTTGCATTGAAATAAAACATGTTACCCTACACCCTCTAAATATCACATTTTGGCATATTCATTTTATGCAATATTCAATAAGGCAATATATAGGGCTTCCCCTATACCAGTGATGGCGAACCTTTTTGAGCCCGAGTGCCCAAACTGCAACCCAAAACCAACTTATTTCTTTCGAAGTGCCAACACTGCAATGAAACCTGAATATCGAGCTTTTGGGTTAGAAAAAACAACTCGTACAGTAGTGCAAACTAATTAACAGTACAGGGATGACCAGAGACTGCGGACACGGTACAGGGATGACCAGAGACTGCGGACACAGTACAGGGATGACCAGAGACTGCAGACACGGTACAGGGATGACCAGAGACTGCAGACACGGTACAGGGATGACCAGAGACTGCGGACACGGTACAGGGATGACCAGAGACTGCAGACACGGTACAGGGATGACCAGAGACTGCGGACACGGTACAGGAGATGACCAGAGACTGCGGACACGGTACAGGGATGACCAGAGACTGCGGACACGGTACAGGAGATGACCAGAGACTGCGGACACGGTACAGGAGATGACCAGAGACTGCGGACACGGTACAGGGATGACCAGAGACTGCGGACACAGTACAGGGGATGACCAGAGACTGCGGACACAGTACAGGGATGACCAGAGACTGCGGACACAGTACAGGGATGACCAGAGACTGCGGACACAGTACAGGAGATGACCAGAGACTGCGGACACAGTACAGGGATGACCAGAGACTGCGGACACAGTACAGGGATGACCAGAGACTGCGGACACAGTACAGGGATGACCAGAGACTGCGGACACAGTACAGGGATGACCAGAGACTGCGGACAGTACAGGGATGACCAGAGACTGCGGACAGTACAGGAGATGACCAGAGACTGCGGAAAGCACAGGGATGACCAGAGACTGCGGACAGTACAGATGACTGCTGACCTTTTGGGAGGGAGGGGGAGCGGGTACCTGAATTTGACAGGTACCCGCTCTTTACTTCCGCAGAGTTTTTTTTTTATCTTACCTGTTCCTTTATCCAGCCGCGCGCTGTCTTCCCGGCTTCTGTAGTGTGGGCGCTCATCGGACAGCCGGATGCCCAGTGCGCATGCGCGAGAAGCGCTGCGCTTTGTGATTGGTCCGGCGGCTTCTGGGATCTGTCATGTGTCCCAGGTACCGCCTTACCATTCACAAAGAGCACTGCTTCTTGCGCATGCGCACTTGGGACCCGGCTGTCACGCACACTACAGAAGCCGGGGAGACAGCGCGCCGCTGGATAGAGGGACAGGTACGGTCCCACTGCAGAGCTGAGCGGCCGGCCCGGTATTCTGATACGGCGGCGGTGGAAATACCGGACCGGCCGCTCTATATTCGCTCCATAAGACGCACTGACATTTTCCCCCCTTTTTTTGGGGGAAAAAAAGTGCGTCTTATGGAGCGAAAAATACGGTATTCTCCTGGCGTGCCCACAGATAAGGCTCGGCGTGCCGGCTGTGGCACGCGTGCCACGGGTTCGCCATCACTGCCCTATACAGTAGCTAACAAAGCCATAAGAATTATTTAGAAACATGAAAATATTTTACATCTAATACTGTAAAAAACAGTTTTACTGGAATGTTGCATCCACTAATATTAAAACAGGATAAAGGTTAGGTGCACACAAGCATATTTATACCCTTCCCACCTCTCCCATGTTTTTACCATTATTTGAGATGGAAAGACATGACTGAAACACACAGAGGCTCATTTATAATGGAGAGCGAACACTGCTATCTGCTCTCCATTATACCCCATTCAGTTACACATTTATGTATTTATTACAGGTACTTATATAGCGCTGTCAATTTATGCAGTGCTTTACATATATGTATATTGTACATTCACATCAGTCTCTAACCCTCAATGGGTGTACAATCTAAGGTCCCTAACTTACATTCATACACATACTAGGGCCAATTTAGACAGGATCCAACTAACCTGCCAGCATGTCTTTGGAGAGTGGGAGGAAACCCACGCAGGCACAGGGAGACCAGGCAAACTCCAGGCAGGTGGTGCTGTGGTTGAGATTCAAACCAATGACCCTAGTACTGCCTGGCAGAAGTGCTAACCATTTAGCCACTGTGTTGCCCTGGCACTAAGCATTAATTATCATGAAGTTCTCCATAAGTTATCCATAGATGTGAAATTATATTCATTTTGGGTGGGCATTCATGTCTATGCACTAAGCTGGTGCCAGTTTTTTTTTTTTGGGGGGGGGTATAAATGGGGATAATCCTCCACTGAGATTTTGTTAGGATAGCAGATGTATGCTGATTGCCTGTGTTGCCCACACATACCACAACCTGCATTTTACAGTCTATTAAAAAATTGGGGACCAAAGTTTAGAGCCTGTGGGACTACACTGTCTTCTCCCTGTTATCCCTGCCTAACATTATAAGCTCTATTAAGCAGGGCCCTCTGATTCCTCCTGTATTGAACTGTATTGTAACTGTACTGTCTGGCCTCAAGTTGTAAAGCGTTAGCGCTATATAAAACTTGTATAATAATAATAATAATAATAGGGACAGTTCAGTGACTGAATAAGAGCTGTTATTGTGACAGGTCACAGTATCAGGCTTTTTTTTTGTTTAATTTTTTTTTCAACAACTGTGCAGTTTGTTTTTTAGGTAGCAGCATGGTCATAGCCCCATAATGCAAAAAGGCAGAAAAAGTAGGAAGTTTATTTAATGATTTGCTTTATTCTCTCATTTCCATTTATTTCAGTCCACCAGCAACAGGGATAACATATTCATTACTGCATAGATGACTGCTGTCAGCCTTCTATTTTCTGTATCTTTGCATAGACCCATGCATGGGCTATGAGGCTTCTCTATAGGTGGATAATTAGCACCTCTGACCAGCCTTTTCTACAGAGCTAAGGGAGCTAGTATTTCATAGCACAACTAATTGAAAAAGAATTCACCACGGGCCCTAGTGACACTGCCATGTGTTTCAGCTCAGGCAAAAAAAAACATTATTAAATAAATGGAGCACTGGTGATAAGCAATAGCTTGATATCTTCTCTCTTATACCACCCACCCCAAACCACCCTTTAAAGGAAACCTGAAGTCAGAAAAACACAGGGGCTGCCATTACTGACCTTCTTCTACGAATATTATCTGCTTGATTGTATTTGTCACTTTGCCTCTATCACTAATACAGAACAAGATTATAGCAGGCAAAGTCAGATTGGAATCAGAATTTCTGGTCTGTATACTTATACTAGTTATAGAGTGAAGCCATCAGAACAGTGTGAAGACCAGTCTACTAGGTTTTTCTGAAGGATAGATTAGTAATGTCAGCTTCCATATTCTTTTAGGACAAAACGGACCCTTGCAGTCACCCCACCACCCCCTCACAACAAAAGTTAAATGCTCATTTTTGCCTAGAGAGAACATAAAAAGCAGTTAAAGATGACTTATTACTAATTCCCCTGGCACTGGGTTTACTTCAGAGCTTTCTGACACTCCAAGCTGTGGGCAGGCCATTAGTGGCTTTACTTACAATGCAGGACTGCAGGTTCTGCATTGTACATAGTGACATCAGAGTTTCTGTGATCAATGGAGCAGCAAAAAGAGGGACATGCAGCTGGGAGGAAGTCGGTGGTGCAAGGAATAAGGTATGTACAACTGCTAATTATGGGCCTCCTAGAGGAATCCTTTGGCGCAAGGAATAAGGTATGTATAACTGCTATTTATGATCCTCCTAGAGGAAGCCTGTGGAGCAAGGAATAAGGTACAGTATGTACAACTGCTATTTATGGTCCTCCTAGAGCAGTGATGGTGAACCTTTTTGAGCCCGAGTGCCCAAACTGCAACCCAAAACCAACTTATTTCTTTCGAAGTGCCAACACTGCAATGAAACCTGAATATCGAGCTTTTGGGTTAGAAAAAACAACTTGTACAGTAGTGCAAACTAATTAACAGTACAGGGATGACCAGAGACTGCGGACACAGTACAGGGATGACCAGAGACTGCGGACACAGTACAGGGATGACCAGAGACTGCAGACACAGTACAGGGATGACCAGAGACTGCAGACACGGTACAGGGATGACCAGAGACTGCGGACACGGTACAGGGATGACCAGAGACTGCGGACACGGTACAGGGATGACCAGAGACTGCGGACACGGTACAGGGATGACCAGAGACTGCGGACACGGTACAGGGATGACCAGAGACTGCGGACACGGTACAGGGATGACCAGAGACTGCGGACACGGTACAGGGATGACCAGAGACTGCGGACACGGTACAGGAGATGACCAGAGACTGCGGACACGGTACAGGAGATGACCAGAGACTGCGGACACGGTACAGGGATGACCAGAGACTGCGGACACAGTACAGGGGATGACCAGAGACTGTGGACACAGTACAGGGATGACCAGAGACTGCGGACACAGTACAGGGATGACCAGAGACTGCGGACACAGTACAGGAGATGACCAGAGACTGCGGACACAGTACAGGGATGACCAGAGACTGCGGACACAGTACAGGGATGACCAGAGACTGCGGACACAGTACAGGGATGACCAGAGACTGCGGACACAGTACAGGGATGACCAGAGACTGCGGACAGTACAGGGATGACCAGAGACTGCGGACAGTACAGGAGATGACCAGAGACTGCGGAAAGCACAGGATGACCAGAGACTGCGGACAGTACAGATGACTGCTGACCTTTGGGGAGGGAGGGGGAGGGGGAGCGGGTACCTGAATTTGACAGGTACCCGCTCTTACTTCCGCAGAGTTTTTTTTTTATCTTACCTGTTCCTTTATCCAGCCGCGCGCTGTCTTCCCGGCTTCTGTAGTGTGGGCGCTCATCGGACAGCCGGATGCCCAGTGCGCATGCGCGAGAAGCGCTGCGCTTTGTGATTGGTCCGGCGGCTTCTGGGATCTGTCATGTGTCCCAGGTACCGCCTTACCATTCACAAAGAGCACTGCTTCTTGCGCATGCGCACTTGGGACCCGGCTGTCACGCACACTACAGAAGCCGGGAAGACAGCGCGCCGCTGGATAGAGGGACAGGTACGGTCCCACTGCAGAGCTGAGCGGCCGGCCCCGGTATTCTGACACGGCGGCGGTGGAAATACCGGACCGGCCGCTCTATATTCGCTCCATAAGACGCACTGACATTTTCCCCCCTTTTTTTTGGGGGGAAAAAAAAAGTGCGTCTTATGGAGCGAAAAATACGGTATTCTCCTGGCGTGCCCACAGATAAGGCTCGGCGTGCCGGCTGTGGCACGCGTGCCACGGGTTCGCCATCACTGTCCTAGAGGAAGCCCGTGGAGCAAGGAATAAGGTATGTACAACTGCTATTAATGGTCCTCCTAGAGGAAGCCCGTGGAGCAAGGAATAAGGTATGTATAACTGCTATCTATGGTCCTCCTAGAGGAAGCCTGTGGAGCAAGGAATAAGGTATGTATAACTGCTATCTATGGTCCTCATAGAGGAAGCCTGTGGAGCATGGAATAAGGTATGTATTACTGCTATTTAAGGTCCTTCTAGAGAAAAAAAAAGAGCATTTAACCCTTGCAGCATTCTGGAAGCCTCATTGCAATGGTCAATTTTTTTGGAGGGTTTAGCTTTAATCCGAAATCTTGCAGACAAATATAGTCATTCATATGACATGAGAAACATTGTGGTGGTGTATAACTTACATACAGCAATTTGAAGTGAAAAGGCAGGTCACTGGAGTAATTGTTGTATGTAAAATCATTTATTATGTAAATGATATGTACTGTAGTTTCCAAAAGGTTTAAACAATGCAATGGCACAGAAACGTATCTATTGGTTTGATAGTAGTAGTGATGACCATTAAAGTATAGCAGACTTTTCTATGCCAGAATTAATAAAGTGCACAATTCTATATAAACCACCAATCCTAAAAATATCTTCAGTTAAGAAATATCAACACCATCCAGCTGCATCCTATCTTCTGCTGAGATCTTGATTATTCTGGCATCTTCTGTGTTTGGAAAGAAGTCAGCGCGTAAAAAAATTGCTTTTGAGTCCAGTAGTTCGGAAACATTTGCCAAAATGTGTAAACAGTAAGAGACATTCTAGGCCGATGTAGTTTTAACTCTGATAAAGCATTAAATAAGATGCTATTATTGCTCTCATCTTCCAATCACATTTGTAGAAGGGCAAAGCCATATTTCAAAAGGCTCTTAATGATTAGTGGTCTTCTGTTAAGGAGGAATTGAAACGCTGCTGATTATTCCTGTTAAAAATAATGAATACCCTACTTTCTAGCTTACATATTTGTGAATCATTTTTTAGACTGCTGCCATTTAGGTACAGGTAAATTGATTATGTGCAAGTCAGAGTCACAGCTTTTTGTAGAAAGATAAAAATGCGGTTTAAAGCGTATCTAAAGTCAAAAACAAACATTTAATATATTGCAGCATACCCATTTTTAAATGTGGAAATGGTGCCCTTTATCGCATTGGCTGACAAGTTAATTTCTAACTCTGGGTATAAAAAACTGCACTAAACAGAGACATGTTTTAAAAATATGTGGCTCTTTTAGTACTAGGATCTGACAACTGAAATTGCAAGCTCTTTGGTAAAAGCTGGACTATTGATTTTAAATTTTGTTTTTACCAAACAGCTTGCCATTTCAGTCTCAGGAACTGATTCCACAGGCAGGTTAGTAAAGGCTGCCTTATTTGGGAATCTGTACTTATTTGTGAAAAAACAGAGAGTTGATGTGACAGTGTCATGATGGGGCTAGGGACAGGTGTACCTTTTTCTCTTTGAAATGTTGGACGGTATCGGCATAAATTTCAACATAGTGTAGTGCACAAACGGGATTGGTCTGGCGTTTTGATCTCGGGTTCCATTATCTGATGGGCATACGATAGCCAGGCACGCAACGTTTTCACACACTTGAGTCAGTAAACAGGCTGTGCAGCTCTTTTTTTGTGTTTTTTTTTTATTTTTGGGAATGAACTTGGATAGGGTGAGGGTGAGCCTAGGGATACTCTAGTAACTGTAAACTTGAATAATTTCTGAAAGTGTTGAACTGTTTCTATAGCTCTTAATTGCAATTTACGAATCCCTGCCTTTAAAGAGAATGCTACTGTGTTTGTTTGAACCTCTCTATAACCGGTCTGTGGACCGTTTTATACAGATGATAATATCAACCATTATAGTGTTATAGCTGAACGCTAAGTTTCCTTTTTCTCTGATCAAAAAGGAGGTGGTGGCAGTGTGAAGGGTTAATTGCATAAATAACCTGACCCAGTAACAATGGATTCAGGCTGCTGGCACATCGATTGGTATCCATTAGCTGGAAAATCGTTGTGCAGGGTGCAGTTGGGTGTGGCATTGTTACTCATGTCACATCGCAGTTGTAGATTGGTTAGCCCTTCGGTCACGAGTTTGGTGAGAAGGTCTGGGGTCTGACGCCGCGATCGTGACACTCTCTGTTTCCTGATTTCCAGGAAGTCATGTGCAAGGACAGTCAATTTCAGTACTGTAGCAGTCTGTGTCCTGAATCTTTGAGAGGTTTTCGCAGAATGCTCCAGGGGAATAGGACAGAGGTCTCCCAGCCAGACTGTAGTTGGGACCCCACAAAGTACTGGTAGTTCCACGTGGATTTCCCAGGGATGCCACAGCCCTCCAGCTGGGTCTTACTCCCCCAGGAACAAGAGAGCCTCTGGTCGGGACTATGGCCTATTTATATCTCCCTCAGCCCCCTGCTAGTCACCTACCATGTTGACCAGAGAGATATTAACATGCAGGCTGGGTTCATGACTCTCCCACGCACTATGTCCCAGGATCCCCTGAGAGACAGGGGGAAGTAATTGAGTAATAGAACCCAGAGCAGACATAACTAATGAAATAGTGAAATAGTGCTCTCTCTGGTTACAAAGAGGCCAAAAGCTAGATTTATCAGAACAGTAGCTCTATGGAGTGCTACAATAGCAAATAAGAACAGTGGGAAAAAAACTGTCAAAAGGGAAAGGTAAACAAGGAGGAAGGATTAGAGGATTAAGTTAATATGTATTGCCCTTGTCTCCCTGTAAGTAATATACTCACCTATCCCAAATCCAGCAAGATATGGCCCACTAAGATGCCAAACCATTTGTCAAAATCTTCTGAACCAAGGGCACACATGCGCTGCACATTATCCAAACCTTTCATACTCCGCTAGGGCACAGAGTAAAACTCTCTACAGGATTTAATAGAGAGTGTACTATGCATAATTGGGTACAGCTCAGAAAATTGCTGTACCATGTACTTGCATGAAAAAAAGTATCCTGATCTCTTTGTATTGCTTCCTTTGTGTAAAATCGCTTGTGCGTCTGCAAGTCCCCCTGCTTTCCTATTAAAAACTGAGCACAGTAGGCAGGAGGACAAGGCATGGTCAGTTCTCTAACTGTGTGCTCTCATCCGATGATCAAACTTGTGATGACAACACCCCCCCCCACACACACACACACACACTGCATAGCCATTCACTGGGAAGAGCAGTGTACTGATGTTTCTTATCCCTCACCTCTCTATGCAGATGAGAACAAAGTGTATGTGATCATCTATAAAACAAAGGGAGAACAAGTATTTATTTTTTTTATATCTATACACAAACATTTTACCTTTCATTTCTATTTTAAACTGTATTGGTTGTTTTACAAGGTGAGGATTTACGCACACTATATTGCCAAAAGTATTGGGACACCCTCCAAATCATTGGATTCAGGTGTTCCAATCACCTCCATGGCCACAAGTGTATAAAATCAACCATTTAGGCATGCAGACTGCTACTACAAACATTTGTGAAAGAATGGGTTGCTCTCAGGAGCTCAGTGAATTCAAGCGTGGCACCTGTGCAATAAGTCCATCCATGAAATTTCCTTGCTACTAAATATGCTATGGTCAGCTGATAGTAGTATTATAACAAAGTGGAAGCAACTGGAAACAGCAGCAACTCAGCCACGAAATGGTAGGCCACGTAAAATGACAGAGCAGGGTCAGCGCATGCTGAAATGGACAGTGAGGAGAAGTCACCAACTGTCTGAAGGGTCAATAGCTAAAGACCTCCAAACTTTGTGTGGCCTTCAGATTAACACAACAACAGTGGTAGAGAGCTTCATGGAATGGGTTTCCATGGCCGAGCAGCATCCAAGTCTTACATCACCAAGTGCAATGCAAAGTGTCAGATGCAGTGGTGTAAAGCACGCCGCCACTGGACTCTAGAGCAATGGAGACGTGTTCTCTGGAGTGACGAATCAAGCTTCTCTGTCTGGCAAACTGATGGACGTGGCTGGGTTTGATGGTTGCCAGGAGAACAGTACTTGCCTGACTGCATTGTGCCAAGTGTAAAGTTTGGTGGAGGGGGGATTATGGTGTGGGGTTGTTTTTAAGGGGTTGGGCTTTGCCCCTTAGTTCCAGTGAAGGGAACTCATAAGGCGTTAGCATACCTTGGACACTTTAATTCTCCCAATTTTGTGGGAACAGCTTAGGGATGGCCCATGTTCCAATATGACTGTGCACCAGTGCACAAAACAAGATCCATGAAGACATAGATGAGTGAGTTTGGGGTTGGCCTGCACAGAGTCCTGACCTCAAACCGAGAGAACACCTTTGGGATGATTTACAGCAGAGACTGCGAGCCAGGCCTTCTCATTGACATCAATGTCTAACCTCACAAATGCGCTTCTGGAAAAATGGTCAAACATTCCCATAGACACACTAAACCTTGTGCACAGCCTTCCCAGAAGAGTGGAAGCTGTTATAGCTGCAAAGAGTGGGCCAACTTAATATTGAACCCTACGGACTAAGACTGGGATGCCAATAAAGTTCATGTGCGTGTAAAAGCAGGCCTCCCAATACTTTTAGCAATATAGTGTACTTTAAAGGGACAGTACATTATACTGTAAGTGTAACTGTAGGTACACTTTAAACATGACACTGACTACTCCAATGTTTTCAGAAAATGTTTGCAACTGCACCAGAACCAATGTGTTGTAGAGCCATATGTTATAGCATTGCTTTAAAAATGCTGGAGGTGCACTGAACTGAGCATATGTGGCCTAAGGGGAATATATATCAAGGCTTTTTGATGAAAATGTTCTCTTTTAACTTTAACAAGCTGTCTTATTTAGCAATTTGTAAAGCCCTAAGTGTCACCTTCCAAAGAATGAAAAATAAGAAATATATGGCATGAAAACTCTCATCCATTAAGGCAATATGTATGTGTGATGACCTCACAAGCTAAAAAAAAAACCCACAACCGTGTTCGTTCATCCGTGTGATAGCTTGATTTTTACAAGCTGTTGAAACAGAGCAAACTACATACAAAGAGCAATATGAAATCTGAGATCCATAAGAAAAATTCAACCTGGAGGCCATTCAATCATCTCCCACATTAAACTTGTGCATCCCAGGGACTTTGCGTAATGACTTGCGCTTTATTTTTTTTTTCTCTTCTGCTTTCAGTTTCTGGTGCTTCCAAGATATACTACTACAATATACTACAATATATATTAGTTCATCAGCCAAATGTTAGGTGCCTTGGGAGTAATTATTTTGCATTCTTTTAAAAGAATGAAATGTTACAGGTTAATAGGGAATTGTGTTGAATAAACACTTAAAAGAGAAATAGGGCTTATTTCCCCCCCTTATTTATACTTACCTAGGTGGATGCAACATCTGTTCCCTGTTGGCTCTAAGGGTGAGAACTCAGCGATCACATGACTGCTGATCGCTGAGTTCTCCTTTCTGCTCTTCCCCAGCTCACTGGAGCGCTGGGCTGTGGAAGGGATGGGAGCAGTTGGCTCAGGCTCTCAGTGCTTTGCTGAGAGGCTGAGCCAGGTGCCGCTCCAGACTATGGGGCGTATCCCGACTTTAAGGTCGGGATCTTTCCCCAGCCTGGACTGGCTGAATAAAGTCAGCTGACAGCGGACTTCAGCCCGCTGTCAGCTGAAAACGGGTCACAGGAGTGCAGAACAAACTGCACTTCTGTGATCCAGAAAAGAGCTTTGGCTGTACTACTCCTTTAAAGCTGAACTCCAAAACAAACATATATTGTTTAAATACAAGAGGCATATGTATTTTTCCCTAGATCTTGGTGTACTTTGTCTATTTCTTACATACCTGTACAGTAATGGAGTGTGAAGCATGAAACATTGCCTTTGTGCAGGAGCTTCTTGTAATAAGGATGTCACTTGTGTAGGATGACTGGTCTTGACTCTACCCACTTCTATAGTTTTCTGCTTGCAACCTGTAGAGGAGAGCTTTGCTCTCTCCACAGATGCCACAGTACAGTGATGATGTCACTGCTACTTTTACAAGGTAATATCTGTGTTTGCAAAGATATTTGGTGCTCAAAAAGTGGATTTGTGTCCTTTGTGACAATTGAGGAATACAATTAAATGGGAGTTTTTAAATGGGAGTTCAGCTTTAAGTAACATTTGAAATATTTATTTTGTGTTAGAGTCACCTAAAAAGGGTCTTGCATTATAGCAACATAAAAACACTACCTGTAAGTTATATGACACAATACACAATTTCAAAATAACTGTATTTTTCATGTAAAATTAGTCATTGGCCCCACCCATTCCCCTCTGAGGAAGTTTCTAAATGTTACATGGAAGTCAGATTCAGATAAAGAATACTCTCACAGCCCTGATCTGTGCAGATGGGCAGCATTTACCGCTCCTCTGGCTGCAGTAGTCAGAGGTAGATGCAGGGGCGTCCCTAGGCAGGTGCGGGGGGTGACACCTATTGCACGGGGTGACACCGGACCCGCTCCACGGAAAGGTAAGTTTTAAAGCAAGCCCAAGATGGATCTGATCTGTGAATTGAGCATAATGGATTGGAGTCCAGGGGCAGACTGACAACTCATGGGGCCCCCGGGCAATAGGGGATCATGGAGCCCCTGTGTCCTTGCCCAAACTCAAAAAAGCCTATGAAAAAGGTACCAGGGGCATCTCATGGGGCCCCCTACTGACCCCAGGCCCACGGGCAGTGCCCGAGTTTCCAAATGGTCAGTCCACCCCTGGTAAGGTGTTATTCCTCAAGTTGGGAAATTTTCTTTAAGCGCATTTCCTATATACCAATGTTGGAGTCCGATCCATTATCCTCCCCAATCCACAGATCCGATCCATCCTGCGGGGATTGTCGGCTTGCAACCTATACGGGGTTAACTGATCTCTCCAGGAAAAGGTAAGTTTTAAAGCAAGCCGACGATCCCCGCAGGATGGATCGGATCTGCAGATTGAGCATAATAGATCGGAGTCTGATCCATTATGCTCCCCAATACGCAGATCCGATCCATCCTGCAGGGATCGTCGGAGGGGGTGTCACCTAGTGTTCCGACACTGGGTGACACCAACCCTAGGGACACCCCTGGGTAGATGTATATAAGCCATAGGCAATACTGACCATCTTCTAGTGAATGTTCCAAGCTAAAATCTGGAGTATTATTCTCCCCTAAGGGAGATTCAAACATGTCTACTTTTCAGGTTGCCTCAGCTGAACTAGAATTAAACACTGCCAAGCCATCTGCGGGCTCAAGACGGTGGATGTGTGTATCATTTGTATCTGGAGTATGTGTGACATTTGGTAAGTTTCATGAAAGAGTGTGGCAGAGGTCAAACACCAACCTAATATTAAAAGTCCAGTTACCCTTTAGCATGATGAAGTGACCCTGGCCTGGCCTGCATGCTTCCATGGTAGCTACAGCAGTGAAATACAGAGTGTTAGTCATCAAACCACCCCTTGGATCCTAGGCCCATGATGTACGCGGGGGGTCTTGACTTTTGCCCCATTTCATGTCATTCAAGATTACAATAAAGCACTTGTGATAGTGATACTCTTTGAGCTCAGGGGCTCTGAGCTTCAGCAAAATGGCAGCCTCCAGCAGAAAGAAGCAGGAACAATGTTAGAGAAAATTTACAGCACTCACTAATTTGGTTGCATAATTATTATTGTGGAATGTATGTTCCTTGCCAAAGAGCATTATTTTTATCAAGTTGTTATGGGTAAAGTTCCGATTTAACCAAGTAAAAAAATGGGGTGTGAATGTAGTCTTTGGAGAATATGAATCGTGGTAATAAAATGCAGGTCCAAAAGTTCTGTAAACATGGCAGTTGCAAGGGTGACAATAGTGATATATTGCAAACCATAGATCTTAGGTGGACTAATAAAAGCAAATATCTCTTAGATTGTAAACTCCTAACCCTCTTGTATTGAACTGTATTGTCCCCCGTTATATTGTAAAGTGCTGAGCAAACTGTTGGCGCTATATAAATCCTGTATAATAATAATAATAATAATCAGTGATTGATTTAAGACCAGTAGAATATTGCCTATCTACAGAGCCAAACAGCAACAATCTGCAGCAACCCATAGGCTTTACCTTTCATCAGTTTTGAGAAACAGAAACTGTGTTGGTAATTCTGAGTTTTTAACTATGGCAGTCTAGAGTACAGACTTCATGAGAAAACCATGAAAACTGACACTGCTGGCTGCTTTCTACAAAAGTAATTCACACACCTGGAACATGCTTGAAGTAAATGAAAGAAGCAAAGTCAACATTTCTTACCTCTAGATTCAGCCAGGTCAATGATTTAGGGACAACTGAAACCGAAGTATCACCATAGTAGCCTGGCAACTAGTATTTCTGAAGAAGGGCAGCAATGGGAGCCTTGATAAATATTCCATGACAACTGTACTCCAAGCCATCTGGAAAATAAGGGAAAATGAGGTTCAGATTTGGAAAGTTAATAAATGCAAATGGCAAATGGAAACTAACTTTAAAATCCAGCTTTTAAATTAACTACAAGAATAATAAAGGCTCATTAGAAGAACGATTGTAAACAACTTCAATAAAAAAAAAGAAAGAAGTTGCATTAAAAAAATCCTATTATTAAACAATAGGGAAGCAGTATTGCTCAAAGTGTTACTAAACCCACAACAGTAATATCAGTCTGTATATGCAGTAAAGCATGCTTGTTGTACTCACTATGGATCCTAAGAGTCTAATCCTCTGCATTGTGTAAAAAGGCTGTTTGATCCTATCTTCTCTGACCCACCTCTTCTTCTAATGTCCCAATCCGTCTGCTGATAGAACAGAGCCTTGGGGCAAGCTGCACATGCTCTGTTTGGTGTATGGTGTGTATCGCTAGAGACATTTGTTTGTTTTTTGCATGTGTGAGTGCATGTGATCAGCACAGGGCCAATCAGCATTGTCCATAGAACAATCAGGGCAGGATGAAAATTCCTTCTACAAGCTTTAACCAGTGCTCTGCTGGACACTGATAGAAATCACAAGACTGCTCTAACTGCTGATGAGAAAAGGTATTCAGCAGTTTATATTTACTAAAATAATGTAATTTCCATGTTCTGTGTACTGTGGTAGACTATATATAGTGAATGCAGGGTCCTGGGTTTAGTGACACACAGTTGACAAGTAAAGTGTTGGTAGTTTTCTGCATCATTTTTTTCAAACAGTCCACAGTGGCAGGTCATAGATATGTAAGCATGACATGCATAAACATACATGACAGGATATACATGAAACATCTGCTGAGAAATGTGATGATCATTGCCTGAATTCTGCTGAAATGTGCTATTATTGAAATCAACTCTATCCTTTGCAAATATGTACAGAAATTGCTGTGAACAGTGAAATATTTTTTTAATAAACCACTCATCAGTGCATAATGAGGGAGTAAAACCTCTGCTCTAGTCTGCCCACAGAGAGCCGTTTACTCCCCCGCTGGGAGCTCCATCTCCTCCCTTACACAGCATGGAGAAGGTGAGGCTATGCTATCAATCATGGCCGCAACATCTTTTCCCTATGAGAGTCAATTTTCAGTGCGCTCTGTCAGAATCTGGGAGGGGGTGTGGACAGAGATGGAGAAGAAGGCTTGGCTCTTGAAGTGTGACAAAAAGTCAACATTTGCATATCAGTAACAGTACTGTTTAGTTTGACCAGGATACACATTTTTAGGAAAGAAAGTAAGAACATGCTACAAGAGTGGATCAGGAAAATAGTACTACATTTACATGCTTGGGAAATACAAAGGTTCTTTTTAACCAATTTCGGGCCGCCCTCCTGCTACGTACTGCAAACGGACGGCAGCTACAGGACCAGCAACATACCCGTACGTCGCTGGTCTTTTGCCAACACAGGGGGGGGCACAGTTGTTCTACTTTCCTGATCCACTCTTGCAGCATAAAGACTGATTTTACTGTTGTTGGTTTAGTAACACTTTATTCACACTGCAGTATAACACTTCAAAGCAAGCTAAGATGTTTGCATTTAAAAAACAAGACCAAGCACTATCCCACCTCCTTTTGGCCATATATTGTGCAATGCTACAGATACATCTAGTTACATACAGTTTTAGATACTGATTCAAGTTTTCCTAATCTAGAAAAAAAAACAAATATTCCAATCGTCAAAGACTGAAGTCTTGCTCTGTACATAAAAATCTAGTTTATGATAAACCGTGGACTGTTTTGTAATGTAATGTACTGCAATTAATTAAAGCAACCTGCAGTTTATGCTTCAAAGCTTTTTTTTTTCCTCAATTCTTTATTTTAATCATAGGGTAAACATTCAGAGAACACATAGCATAAACAACTGAAATAAACGCATGTCCACCCAGGGGTTCAGCAAGAGAGAACCACTTTTCAATTTAGTCCACTTGCAATTCAACACACTGTCTATCAGAACATCTAGCACCCAACAGAGAGAGAAAAGTAGTGTATGCAAATTACCCCAGGGGACTGGGCAGCCGGTTGTCTCTGTACCCTGTGTTTTTCAGTTTTATTGCAGGTAGGAAGAAAAGAGTGAGGAAGGCGGAATGGGGGAAAAAGAGAATAAAGGGGGGGAGGGAGGAGAGGAAGGGAGAGGGGAGAGCAGGAAAGGGGATAGAATCCATGTCCACACCTCTGTCTCCTCTGACCCAGAAGAGATGAAAAAGCGACCTCCCAATGCCACAGGATGTCAATTCAGCCAACAAGGATGGGTACTCCTCTGAGTAAATGAAGTTGTGCCAGTAGAACCACTTTTTGAAGAATTTTTCTCAAAGGCCCCTCTCTGTGGTCACTGGGTCCTCCATCTCATTTATTTCAGTAACCTTTTTCAACAAGATGGAGATCGACGGTGCTTGTGACTGCATCCAGAAAAGTGGAATACAGCTTTTCTCTGCAGTGAGCAGTAATGGTAAAATGGAGCGTTTGTAAGTCTTTACAGAGATATGGTAGAAAGAACGCCGAGTCCCACAGTAAAACATGTTCAATGAATTTGTGGGTAATGCGATGAACCTCGGACCAAAAGGTATGCAGGTAACGGCAGGACCAAAAGATGTGCAGAAGAAAGCCAATCTTCTTCCCACAATGCCAGCATACATTGGGACATTGGGGAAATATCCTGTTTAATCCTGCTGGGATTGAAGTACCAGTATGTTAACAATTTGAATCCCAATTCTTGGTATCTGGAGCCGATAGATGTTTTGTAAGTGAACAGGAGGATCCTCTGCACCTATTTTTTTTTATGAGGCTTAGCCCCAGATCCTCTCCACCTGTTTGTTTATGAGGCTCAGACCCAGATCGCATTCCCATTTTAATTAATAGTAACCGGTAGGTCGGGGATAGGGTTACGAGCATGCGGTAAGTCTGAGAAACTGCGTGGTACAATGTGGAACTATCCATGCACAAAAGTTCAAACAGAATCAGGCAACAGCAAAAGGATTCAGCAGGGGGTAAAGATTCAAGACAGGTGTGCCAGCTGGATCTTCTGCCAGAAAGATAACTCCATATATACCGGGTCATCAAGAATTTGCTGTCTAGGAACCCAACGTCTTTCCGAAAAGTGTTGTGCCTGGTAAAGGCCATTAGATTTCATTGTTTGAAATCTTGGATCAAGTAGGCCTGGACTAAAGGCAGGGTTCCCAACTACGGGAGTGAGTGGTGAGGGAACCGGAGAAAGAGAGGAAGTTCAGAACAGTTTAGTAATGGAGACTCGTACAACACCATGGCAACGATTCCAGTGGAATACCCACCATGGCTTGTCAGTTCAAAGTTTTTTATGTAGTTAGGACCATGCCACAACAGAAATCCTGGAGCAATGATTGGCAGCAGCTAAGTCCATTTAATAACTACTTCTAGCTACAGATTTTCTATTGCAGATTAAAACGGGTTCTGTGCCATGGTTATTGATAGCTGTATTGGATAACATGAGCTGCTACAGATTGAGTAGCTATCTTTGAATACTGGAAAATGCTAAGCATAAAATCATTGAAATTACTGCAACACAGACCCTTTACCCACTGCACTTTCATTGATTGACTCTATAGTTGCTACGTACACATCTGAAAAGCCATAGCCGTGCTTTCTTTTATTACTTTACTTAATATTATTTTACTTTAATTTACTTTCTTTACTGTTGCACATTTATTTTGTGCAAAACACACCTGTTTTTCTTGTTGACTATTCACTTCTTACTGCAAAACCATGACAGTAAAACCACAAGTGGCCTCAGGCCTTCTGAGTCATTGCTTACAACTGGTGCATTGAAAGGCTCTGATAAAACAGAAATTGTCTCAGCCACCTGCAGCCTCCAGTGAAAACTGCTGGTCAGCAGTTCCTTTATCTAACTAAAACTGGCATAATTATAAGTATCAACAGATGGATTATAATCTTTTCCTGTAGCAGTCTCAGATTGACACCAGTAAGCATTCTTTAGACCATTACAGCGAAGAAACATGACAGAAGTACTTACAAATAGGGGGTACGTTAAACAATATGATTAGTCTATGCTGTCTAATATCTAAATGTTCTGTAGGTTGGATTATAAATGGAATATTTAAAAAAATAACTTAAAAATATATAACGTGTTCTGCTTGCAGAGCGAATAAAGCAAAATATACCTATACATGCCTAACATGCTTGACACCAAGAGCAGATCATTTTTTTAACTCCTCCTTCTCCTCCTATACGACAACATTTTTGCCAGCAATATGATGTGGTTTAGCTGAAGGAGCAAAAGACCTATAGACACCTTCTATGTGACAGGATTTGGGTCAGTCAGTGCTATCACATGAAGTGAGTCACATGCCCCGCCTGATCCAAAAAGACTGGGTATTTTCTTTGGTTCATGGTAAGTATATGCTGTTGGGGATGCAGTACTAAAGCAAACTTGTTGTTTGTAATGAATTGGCAAAGTTACTTTTAAATTGGTAATCAATAGAGAAATGCCCCCTACATTGGTGGTCAGTGGTATAATGCCCCATTACACTGTTTGTCAGTGGTGAAAAACTCCATACACTAGTAGAATTTTGTTTCAAAATTTTCATTATAAGAACATCCATTACATTTTCTAATTGTTAGTTTTTAATGAATTGGCAAAACCCAAGTTAGCTTTAAATTGGTAATCAATAGAGAAGTGCCCCCCTACATTGGTGGTCAGAGGAGAAATGTCCCTCACATTGGTGACCAGTGGTTCAATGTCCCCTTACACTGTTGGACAGTGGTGAAACTCCATACACTAGTAGAACTTTGTTTCAAAATTTTCATTTTAACCACTTGAGCCCCAGAGGATTTACCCCCCTTAATGACCAGGCCTTTTTTTTGCTGTTTGGCGCTGCACTAATTCAAAAATGATAATTGCACGGTCATGCAATGCTATACCCAAACAAAATTTACGTCCTTTTTTTCACACAAATAGAGCTTTCTTTTGGTGGTATTTGATCACCTGTGCGCTTTTTATTTTTTGCGCTATAAACAAAAAAACCACAAAAATTTTGAAAAAAAACAATATTTTCTACTTTCAGCTATAAAAAAATATATCGTAAACTCAAAGTTAGTCATAAATTTAAGCCAAAATGTATTCTGCTACATGTTTTTGGTAAAAAAAATCCCAATAAGTGTATATTGATTGCTTTGTGTGAAAGTTATAGCGTCTACAAACTATGGTATAGATACTGTAATTTATGCCTTTTTTTGCTATACAGCGCTGCACTAACTCAAATGATAATTGCGCGGTCATGCAATGCTGCACCCAAACGAAAATTACGTCCTTTTTTTCACACAAATAGAGCTTTCTTTTGGTGGTATTTGATCACCTGTGCGCTTTTTATTTTTTTTGCGCTATAAACAAAAAAAACACAAAAATTTTGAAAAAAAACAATATTTTCTACTTTCAGCTATAAAAAATATATCGTAAACTCAAAGTTAGTCATAAATTTAAGCCAAAATGTATTCTGCTACATGTTTTTGGTAAAAAAAAAATCCCGTGCATTAGCGGGCAAACTGGCGCTATCTAGGAGGGGCGCTAACACTATCGGAAGTCACCAGTGACACTAATACAGTGAT